TGTTAGGAACCTCTGTTTTGTGTGATTAGAGGAGGAAGCAAGTTTCTTCTGAGGGTTTGTTCTCAGAGCTTCTAGTGTAGTGTTCTAAAATCCATGGAAATAGAATAATTCATAATCTGCAAGATTGGACATTTTAAGGGTCAAGTAAAACTTTTATGTAAAAATTGGTGAGCACTAGAGGACTATGAATGCAAAAATGTATAGAAAATGATTTATAACAGCTTTGGTTATAATTGCCCTAAACTCAAAACAAGTGAAATGTCCTTCAAAAGGCAACTGGGTAAATAATGGTGTATCCATGCAATGGAATATTACTCAGCAATGAAAAGGACCCAACTATTAATACATGTAGCCATTTGGATGGGCCTCAAGAACACTATGCACTGAGTGAAAGAAGGCAATCTCAGAACATCACAGGCTGTATGATCCCACTTATGTAACATCTCAAAGTGATAAAAGTATAGTGACATAGGAGAACAAATTAGTGACTTCCAGGAGATATGTCAAAGGGGAGTTGTGATGATAAAGAGGTGGCGTGAATTTGTTTTTTGGGTGCTATAACTGCTGGTAGCTGAATGTTGTGGTAATTACACAAATTAATACATATTTTAATTCATAGAACTATATACGGTCCCCTAGAAGTCAAATTTATTATATGATACTTTTATGATCATATAAATATAATTTTACAAATTTACAAAGAGCAGAATATACTATCTTTTAGTTATACCAAATAATTGGAGTTGCACAAGCATGTAAGGTAAAAGGACCAACTTATTTAAATACATAAAAATGCTGTATTTCAGACCAAAGGTAAAAAAAATGACCTCCATGAGAAGTGTTCTCTATAAATGTGCCTAAGGTCGTCTGACTGGCATAGTCCTTGCCTGTGGCTGCTCTAGCACCTCTCTCCTGTTTTCCCATTGGTCCTTTGGCTTAGACTCTTCTCTGTAAGCTTGATCACTTTCAAAATGAATTTATGGGGCAGGTTTGTTCTCATTTATACAAGCTAAAAAAGACCAACAACCCAGGAACTGCCATCCAGATACCTTCCACATAGATACATTAGCCCTCAGAAATTGCTCCCGTCCTCAAAGAAATGGCCACGCCTACATCTCAGCATGCTGTTCAAGGTGAGACCTCATGACCCTCACAAGCAGTCCTTTCTCCAAATGGGGTAACATTCTTGCATGGACCACAAAGTTCATGAAGCCACTTTATAATAATGAGGTTGTCCTGTACTTCATTCACTTCTCAGTTTTAGGGTTACTACAGAATCAAGTATTGAATGTGGGTCTTTGTTTATTTGTTTTTTGTGCTTTAGAGGGACATGCATGTTTCTCATTAGAAATTGCAGAAATGATGTTCTCTTACAATTAAAATATGTAGTTATTATGTGGTTTGGCATCCTTCTTGAATAAGTCGCCATGGTTGTATGCGTGGGTGTTGCATTCGCTTTCCTGTGAACAGATACCGAGTGCATAAATTAAACATCAGGGGAGGCCGTGGACAGAGCATGGGTTTTTGAGACCAACATTTGAATGGTATCAGTGCCATTTCACCTTTCACAGGGGACCTATCCTTTCTGAATCTCAGGTTTCTTTACCCTACATGTAAGGTGTTCCTTGGGGCATTTGGTGCATAATGTGGTATTTGAAAACATGGTAGTTATTACTTTTTATAGAATGGATTAACGTATCTGTGTTTAACTTAGATTAAATATGAGCAGCTATGGGAATCTGTGATGATCATTATCTGCATACCAATTTCGTGATTTAGTTAAAAAAATTTATATGACGTAACAATTTCCTTTGGCTACAATGCATGCTCTCAGGATTCTTTCTGGTGATGTATCAGTAAGCTTTGTGAGGAAATAGAGCAATTTAAATATGGGTTTAATTCTAGCACAACTTAGAGGTAATTATCAGTATATGTCTCTCAAATGCAAACTTGACGCCTTTCAGTAGCTGCCTTGTTGACGGGTCTTCCTAAACTGACCTCTCTTTGGCACCCAGGCTCTGGTGGGTACAGCCGGACTTGTGCTGGGCTGAATTTCAGAAGCAAGTGTGCAAATGTTGCACACAGTTTGCATGGGGCGAGACGGAGCTCAGGCCAATCTCCTGCAGCTGGGAAGAGCAATTAGCAGCTTCATGAATTAGGGGCTTGTTTACACTGTTGTCCAAGATAATCGTTTGTTTGTTTTAACTAAGATGCTCTATCTTCGTCAGAGGCATCAATCCTCATATTTAAGTGATAAGGTCTTTGAATCTCATAAATAATGTTTGTATTTCACAGCAGGAACCCTGTCACCACCCGTATTTTCCCTCACTGACTCTGGTAATCAAGACACGAGTTACATATATCTTTCAAATTATTCTTCAAGCGGTTAAGAAAAAAAATTACGTGATCTATTCCAGCACTATTTTGACACATATCCATTTTTTTAAGTGCCTTTTATGGACATACATGTGCACAGACACATCCCACAAACACCTGCACACACATATGTGAAATAAAATCTTACAAAATAAGGCATAGCCATAGCAAAGGTCATATACTCTTAACTTTTCTCTGACTTTTATCTACCCTATTCTAGTCCATTTTCACTCCACTCCATTCTGTGTTCTGTTGATTTCATTTTAAAAATCCAAGTTACAACCAATGATTTGATTTCCTGATTTACTGACAGGTTACAACCTAAAGTTTGAAAAACAGTGATTGATCTACAAAGAAATTCACTTATGATTCTATCTTCTCCCCAGGATTTGTAGAAAGTAGCGCATCTGGCATTCCTGTCTTTTTGATCTTCAGCTATGTGTGATATTAAATCAATGATCAAAGTATATCTGTCTTCCCACTGAGTAAATGCCAGTTAGTAGTACCTTTTCAAGACAATAATGACATCTAGTCACTCAATTAGTACTTAATGATGAGTCAGATAAATTATTTTAGAAATCATGGGTGTGAGTCATTATTAAACTACATCCAGTTTTCCCAGAAGGGGGACTCTTTGAATAAGATGGTCAGTGTATAGTGGAAAATGTTTACTGATCTGCATCTTGTTTCTATAGGTACAACACCCAAGGTCACTATTTTTCTAAGGCATAAGCCTTACAAACATGTTTGAATATATGACAGTATTAATATAATATAAACAGTTAATATTTGAAATAGCTGAAAAACTAGAACACTGTTCCTGGTTAAGATGATTAGAAGACATTTACCTTTTTAGAAATATTTATTCACTTCCCTTTACATTCCTGGTGGTTCCTAGAGACCGAGAGATAAGCAAGGCATAATATAGTCCCTGTCATTGGGGAATGTATTGCCTGACTCTCAGATAACCTCAGAATTCTATCATAAGTGCTGAAATGGAACTCTGTACCCTGCCAGAGGTCAATGTGAGCACAGAGCAAGAATAGACCATGGGAGTGGGGAAATAGCCCGGAATTTGTCAGGGAAGATGTGACTTCGGAATCTCGTCCCATTGGTTAAAAGTGGTGATCCCTCACACGTTGTAAAATGAGTTTCCCCAAAGGCAGAGTCCTTTGGGGAGCAGAGGGGGCTGGGGTGTGGTCTTAACTGACAGTGGGACTTTCTGCCTCGTACCAAAAGCACCATACTATTCAGGGGCAGCTTAGTCAGAAAATGCACGGGTACATGATGACGCCTGCATGCGTAAAGACCCATGTACGTTCTTGTAATAAAAACATCGGAGAGCTGTTTTGTGACAAGTGTCACAGGTGTGCATTGCACCATCTGCTGGCACAGGGAGAGCATGAGACACAATGCCAAAGGACAGATCAGTGTTCTAGCCCCGACAAGCCTTTCTGGCATCCCTTTCAGGGATCTCAGGTTATGAATGTTGACTTTTCCCCCCCTTTGACCAGGTTCAGTGACAGAGGTGGTTAAATAAATAATTGTAAACTATCATTTCTAAATTACTGAAGATTCTTTTAAGTATTTACAATAAATAGTTCTTTTTAATTCCTCCAGGGGGACACAGGAGACTGGGTGTAGTAACACACTGAGCAATGAACAAGATGCCATCTATAGATAAATGGGGGCCCAGCCACCTGGGGACCCATTGCTCTGTCACATCTGGGTTTGTTTTTGGCTTCAGCTTCTGACGTTGGTCTGATCCTTCCAGACGTGAGTCATCTGAACTCTGTCTCTGTGCCCTCCCCCTGCGTACACACCCTGAACGCACATCCTCATTGTCACCTTGCTCCTTTGCCCCTTCAAACCATTTGTGCCACTAGCTATAGCTTGTGCCCCCCTTTCTGATCTCTTCTGTCCCATCCCTGGAGAAAGGTCTGGAAAGCGAGAGCCATACTTGGGCTCTCAGGCAGGGTGAGAGGAAGGCTCCTCCCAACTCCTCGGTGTGTGTAACAGCAGGTTAAGATAATGAAAAACTTCATTCTTAACTCTGGTCAGGCTCAAATGGAGGATTATCAACTCTCAACTGACAACCCTGGGTAAATGCTTGCTTTCTTATTTGAAGGATGTCGCTCTCTTTGTCTCCTTGGATGAGAGGGGACTTTCTGGAAATTATGAATTATCTATTCTAACTTTTTCCCTTGAAAATTAGTGAACTACCCTATGAGGATTCATTTGGAATTCACTGTTTAGCACACTTACTGAAAAACAGAGAAGCTAAGTCCTTGGGAAGCTGAGGAACTCTTCATTTTTTGCAGATTGTAAATTTTTTGAAAGCAGATGCTGGGCCATATCTAACTTTGTTCCTCTCACGATTCCTAACAGAATGCCTTACTCCTAGTAGGAACAGAGTGCATATTTGTTTATCGACTCCACTGGCATCGACAACGCCTGATTACGCATATGTTCACACCTTCAGGGGTTGCCTGGACAGTTAAGGCCAGGCTCTCTAAGAGACCAGAAGTTTTACTTTGACTAATTTAAATACGACTCTTCTCAGCTTTGTAAAACATCAAATACCGAATACAATTTAATATTCTCTTATTGATTCATTGTCATAGTATGAAAACCAGTCAGTGAGCTGCGCTCATGAGAATGATGATCCATGCTGTTAAAACTTCTCCTCCTCACACGCTTGTCCACAAAGACAGGGACGAATGACGGAGCATAAGGAGGGAAAGAGGAAAAGCAACTGTGAGTCCTCCCTGGTAAAGTTTACGGAACACTGCTCAGCACGCAGGAGCACAACGGAAGCGCTAGTTGCTATTAAAATGGTTTTGGCTGCTCCGTTATTAGAATATTTGAAGTGCTAATGCATATGCTCTGCATGGAGTAGCATAGAAAGATCAGAACACTTATAAATCTCTTAGGGCCAGCTATAAAATTTAAAAAAGAGCATTCAATTCTAATTAATCTTATTGTGTCCTGCTTGTTCCCCAGAAGAGTAGTTTAGATAATACATTTTTGCTAGGGTAAAAGTGAGGCATGGCAGGTACCTTTCAAGTTGTGATCTTGGGCAGGTTTCTTGGCCACACTGCGTCTCAGCTATCCCATCTATATAATGGAACCAGGGACCTCTAACTGTTAGTAATTGTGCAGGAGTAAATGAAATAATTTCTACAAGCTGCTTACCATTTTATAGGCATTCCATGATATGTTATCATGATACCTTGAATGCTTACTATGTACCAGGCGTGGTGTTAGCTGCTGATGGTTTTGAAATTACATTTGAGGATGTAACTTTCAGAGGTACCTCTATGTAGACATACATTAGATTTGAGGTTAGAGGATTATGTAACCTAATAGTGGCCCCTGAGAGTGTGAGATAAACAATAGGACCAGATTTCATGTAGAGGTAAGAATTCACAACTTTGGGAAGAATCATAGTTGGGTTTTTTTGTTTTGTTTTGTTTTAAATTGATCCGATTTACTGAGTGGTCCTGTAAGAGCCAGTAACTCAGAAACGTGGAATGGCATACAAGTGCATATTGAATGTACAAGTTTTGATACCTTCATAAATATTGCAAGATTTGGATCAATAATGAGGTGTCAGGGGTTAGAGAAGGTGATTTAGAGGAGCTGGTAAGGCTTCTATGCCAAGCAATGATTTTTAACCTGGCTTTTATTACCAACACAATACAATTTCAACCTTCCAAAAGAGATGTCCTGAGATGGCCCAGGCAGGGCTCTGGGAAGCAGATTCTAAGACAGGGCTTAGTGTGTAGGATGCTCACTCAGGAGCGTTCTTGGCACCATCTCCATGATAGGCAGGAAAGGAAGCAGAAGTGGGCAGAGGAAGAAGGCCAGATTCAGGTCTGGCCAAAGGAGAAGAACAGCTTTAGCCAACTCTGTGGGGTGCTCTGCAGCTACAACAGCCTCAGAGTATCGTGCTAAGGTTGAAATGGACAGGCCTTACGCTCCCACCTCCACCAGTTATGGGACGTGGGCTGCCCTCAAAGCGAGTGCCGCCCTGGAGACTCAGCTCTCTGCAACTGAAATAATTCCTCAAGAGACAACAGTCCTTCCTTGAAGAGAGATCTGTTTCTATCAAAAAGGTGAAAAACTCAACACTATGATGCCCTAGGGCAGGGGTGTCCAACCTGTGGCCCACTGGCCACATGCGGCCCAGAGTGGCTATGAATGTGGCCCAACACAAAATTGTAAATTTACTTAAAACATTATGAGATTGTGTGTGTGTGTGTGTTTGTGTATTTAATGTGTGGCCCAAGACAATCTTCTTCCAATGTGGCCCAGAGATACCAAAAGGTTGGATACCCCTGCTAGGGTATCATGTGTCTTGATGCCCACTCTTGTGTTGAATAAAAATCACCTTGCATCACTCTGAGGGAGAAAAGCCATAAAATATGTGTCAGTTTTTTGTTTGTTGTTTCTCAGAGAAGCTGTGGCCTGTGAGAAGTTTTCAAACCTCTCACATTCTCCCTGGAAACAATAATCAATCGCCTACAAATCCATGTGTCTCCCATCTGGACTGAAGCCCAGTTTGGGGGCCTAGTCTTTGTATCTGAAGATTATTTTAATCCCTGAGAAAATGTTATACATTAATCTTTTAGGAGGGAAATTTTCAAAACATGCACAAATAGAGATGATTGAGTAACAAATCTCTAGGTATACAGCATGTGGTGTCAACACTTTGCCCTTCTCATTCCAGAGGAGGTTCAATAGCATAAAACGTTGTCTCCTGTGTTGACCTGAGACAGATCCAGATGGGTGTGTCCTCAGAGTCGGGTGAGATTTCACAGTGTTTGAAGTCAGGAGCAGCTCTTCCCGGTGCTGACGTGGGTGTAGTAGAAGCCGTCAGAGCCATGGCTCTGGGAATGGGCGTACCTCCCCCTGTGGACCAGTGGTGGCAATGCCTGGCCATCCACTCACATTTCCACTGTCCTGGCTTCACAGCTCAGCAATGAAAATTGGATTTGAACCTGGAATGTGTGCTGATGCCCAAAGCTGTCTTAGTGTTTCATGGCACCCAAGAAGGCCACACTGTGAGTCATGGGCCAAGAAAGGGTCAGGACATGTACTTCATTTTTGTACTGATATTTTGTTGAGGGGTCTCCTGGAAATTGGTGAGCATGGAAGTGACCTGCCACCTTCCTGTACTCTTGGCAATTTTTCAGCCTAGTGTGAAACTAAAATCAAAATTTCTATTTAGGAGTGGAATATTGTAGAGAAATTCTACAAAGAATATCTGAAGCAATGCTGGGGATGTGATTAGAACCCTCCCTGAGGGCTGAACATCTGAACCATTTCTGAGTTCTTTGCAAGTTCAAGCCCCTAAGTGGGTTTGCCAAAGTGGTCAGGATGACATCCCAGCTCCATTAGGCTTTGCAGGGCTCTGTCCTGAACAGAGCAGTCGTGGCATGCCTAGCAGTGAATCAGCAGTCCCCGTCACCCCTGCCACTCAAGTAGGAATTTGTTGGTTGTTTGGCCTCAGAGCAGGTGGCGGTGGGGGTTGTGGCGGTTGCATTTCCTCTTTGAGGTGGGGGCTCAGCTGTTTCCTTGGTCACAAGCTCCTGGTAAGTGCCTGGAGGAGGCAGGAGGCCAAGAATACAGCTGAGGCTTGAGCTGCAGCCAACTCCCAGCAGCTGCTACTCTGTTCTCGGAGCTGGAACCAGCTCCAGGCTGCAGTATGGCCTGATCTAGCTTTTGGGGAGGGGGCTGGGTACATTCATGTGTACATTCTGAGTGACTTAACCCACCTGCTTTTTATGTGTGTGTGTGGGGGGCCCAACTTAAGTGACACTTCTTTGACATTTATGTTACATGAAAAGTTCTAGGTCAGTGAAAAGAGCATTAGACTTTCACTCTTAAGGGATCAATGGATTTGAAGATCTTAAAGGAATTAGTTTAAGAGATAAAAGGTAAGGCTACCATCCTAAACTGGAATGTATGGGTTTAATATAAGAGTGTTTTGATTTATATGTATGTTTTTATACATATATATAAAAGTAGCTTGGCAAGGGTACTATACTAGAAGCAAGAAGAACTGAGTCCTAATTGTCCTATGGAATTTACAAACATGGCTATGTGACTGATTTTGGACATCATCATTGAGCATGGCCTAAGTTTGTTCTTTCTTTCTTTCTTTCTTTCTTTCTTTCTTTCTTTCTTTCTTTCTTTCTTTCTTTCATATACTAACTGAAGACCATACATTTCTCATATCAATTATGAGAGCTTGCTTTTTTCTTTTTTGGAGAAGTTAAAGTAAGTGGAAAGGGTTGGGCAAAATGCTATTCATGGACACTCTAAAAAAAAATTGACACAATCAAAATGTATACTTAGATATCACACACACATCTATGCATCTATTTCTGCATAGCACAATAGGACTTTTAAAATGGCTTACCATACAGTTGTTTTCTGTAATGTAAACATCGGAAGTAAAGAGGTCATTTTAAATGTTCAGGATTCTGTTATTCCCTATACTTGAGAAACAAACAAAACAAATTCTCCAGGTAAACATTGCATGAGTTCATGAAATGACCCTTTACGTAAAAGCACTGCTGTTGGTGAAGAGCCATTTAATGAACTCCACCCATAAACTGTACAACTTTCCCTCAAGTCTGGGTCCTCCTAGAGAGTGGGCTGTATTCTGATCATCTTGGTACCCCTGTTGCTATCAAGGATCTTATTAAGAGTATAGAGAACAAATGAAATGTGTTCAGTTTATCCTGGTGATTATAGCTGTGAAAAATGATGACACGTGTGTGGTTTTCAATGTACCCAGACCACCATTCATGGTAGAACTGCTAAACTGGCCCTTCTATCTTCCCAGACCCTTAGCTCCAACCTTGCCCCACAGAGGAGAGTGGCTGCAGGCAGGAGCTGCTGAAAAGCCACAAACCTATGTGGGGTTCTCAACAACAAGGATCAGTAGATAGTATATATGAAGAATGCTATAAATTATTACAGATATCGCACATGCACCCATCCCTGAACCCCAACCTACTACATAGAAGGGAATCACATTTCTTGTAATCAAGTGATGGGTCTCCCCACAAACTGGTAACTTTCCTAAAATTTCAACTGAAACTTCAGTTGATTCCTTTAGAGAGAAGTAAGCTTAGAACACAATATTCAAGTCAGTGGCTCCGTTAAAAATATCCTTAAATTCTTAAGAAAATTTAGCCAAGTCTAATTTGTAATTGTGAGTTGCTTTTGTTTTGATATTTATTCTAAGCATAAAACAAGCATAATACATGATAGTTCAAATATTCATATAACTAGTCTTGAGATGGTTTTGGCATTATAAAATAGTATTTTTTTTCTTTTATTATGTCATTTGACTCATGCACAAGTTGCTTTTCTTTTGCTTTATCTTTGATATTTATTTAAAACATGCCTCTTCATAGGCTTAATTCCTTCTATTGCACATTTGATTAGATGTACTGATTCTTTACTTTTGGTTTATTAACAATTCTTTGCCTTTACGTTCATGTTTTCTGACTAAATGGGTAATTACCTTGGAATCACAGAGCAGTTAACACTGTAAATAGCCAATTTGAATTCATCCATTATTTTTTGATGTCTTCTCTATGTTTACTTTTTCTGATTATAAAAGTAAAATAGGTTCATCTGAGAAGATTTAGGAGCACTAGAGCGAGCATGCGCCCTGTGGTTCCCTGCTAGGAATTGCCATTGGCATCACTCTGGCATGCCTTTATTATTCATTGTTG